ATCCTTACACGGTCTTGGGGAGACACACACACACAGGGCATGTTTTTCAAGCCAATGGGGATGAAATTTGTACCACACAGTCAGTCATTTGGAATCCAGCTTCCTTAACCAACAACCCACTGGACAAGCCGTTAAAAGCACTTTGGGGCCTTGTGGTACGGTGGTAGTTAAGGTATGGCCAACTGTGCAGTCTGAATCCAAAAACCCACAGCCTGAAAACCACACTGGACATATGTGCATGTGTGTCCAAAATTCCAAGAGGTAAAATGGAGAAGACTGTGACATGGCCATCCTCCCTAGGGAGGTCCTTTCTCACTCCTCCCCTACTCTGCGGAGAGCACGTGCCCTACAGCAAAGTTAAAAAAAAAAAAAAAAAACGTTTATATCTACCCAACAATACTGCTGGATACATATGAGTATCACCTCTACTGAATTATTTCATTAAATGTCCATAGCAGTGAAGATGAGAAATGGAAAAATCAATAACTCAAAAAAAGCCTTCAACCTGTCCGTAAGTATGTTGACCATTGGTCCCCCCTGATTTTCAATCCTATATTCTTCCACAGTCATTGTGAAGAGTTACATATTATTCTGTTGGATTGTTGGGAAAGACGGTGTGTTTTTGCACAGAAAAACATAGCAAACTATGTCATGACTTTCCAAACAACCTAATAGTAACCCAGAATTATATCAAGTATGGCATAAAAATGAGAACACTGAAATCCAATCAAAGACCAGATTCTGATAGTTTGCGATCATTCTCTTCACCAGTAAAAGGAAGTCAATAATATTTATTTGTTAGGCTACTATTAGACTGATTATAAAAGGGGTACATTCCTAATGTAATAACTGTGAAAACTAAAGATATATCATAATTTTAATAAATGCAGACCTTACTAGAAACTAGCTGGTACTTGTAGGATTACCAAATGCTATGGTTGAATGTGTCCCTCAAAACTTCAGGTATTGAAATTGGGTTATATTGTTAAAATGATTAGGGGAAAAAGCAGGGCCTTTGGGAGGTCATTAGGATTAGACAGGTCAACAGGGTAGGGCATCCATGATTGAATCCCTGTTGGTTTACACAGAGAGAAAACGAGAGAGAGACATGGACACACACAAGTTCTTCCCGTGTGATGCCCTGCACCACTGGGGGATTCTGCAAATAGTCTCTACCTCTCCACCAACAAAAAGACCATCCCTAGATGTGGTCCCTTGACCTTGGACCTCCAGAACTATGAACTAAATAAACCTCTATTCATTATAGATTACACAGTGTGTTACTCAATTATTAAACAACAAAGAATGAACTAAAACATCAACTCATTCCAAACTGTCACCAGAATCACTTCATCTTCTGTGATCTCCCAGCCTGCATTAGAACCTAAGTTACCTGGTTCCTTGCAGAATCAGAGGAGAGCAAGGGGCCAGTCAGCAGCACAATGGCTGAGGCAGCTGGATCCCACGAGGCCTACTGAGTAGTTCAAATTCCCACACTCGACAGTTTATGAAACACACCAGGTGCAAAGGAAAATGGAGGAGAAGGGATTGTGGTGTGGCCACCCCAGGAAGATGCTTTCTCACATTCCCTCTCTCTAGTATGCACATGTGCCCTATTGCAAAGTAAACAAATAATTTTTATTTTGAGAGTTTTGCTATAGGGCACATGCACTCGCTGGAGAGACAGAGAGAAATCACCCTGGCGGGGAGAGGTGGTCACACTCCAATCACCTCTCCTCCATTCTCCTCTTGGGATTTGGGGCATGCATGCACATGTGCCAGGCATGAGTTTAAGCCATCGGGTCCAGGTGGACTCTGTGGGAGTCCAGCAATGCAATCATTACACCATTGGCTAGTCCCAATAAATAAATAATTTTTAAAGAATTATTTAATTTTATTTATTCACTTATTCATTTTAATTTGACCTGAGAGAGACAGAGAGAAAGTGAGAGGGCAAGGCACCAGGTTTACCTCGAACCCTGGTGGGCCATGTGGGGGTGTCCAGCACCTTAACCACCACGCCACCTAATACAGGGGCCAGCAGGTGGCATGGTGGTTAAGGCACTGGACTTCCACGTGACCAGCCACAATTCAAGTACTGGACCTGGTGGCTTCCTTTCTCTTTTTTTCCTCTCTCTCCGTGAGAGCATGTGCCCTATAACAAATTTAAAAACAATAATAAAATTAATTCTTTCTAGAAAAAGCTAATATAGTTGTCTCTTACAGTGCAATTTTTGTTCACAGAAGCAATTTTCCAGAAATTTAAGTAGTATATTGCTTCTATACAGACACTGCACAGAACACTAAATTATGGAGATCTAGATTCAGTTCCTTACTCTACCAATAACTGATTTTGCATAAGGCACTCTATGTTTCATGATCTCAGTTTTCTCTGGTATAAAATGTAGTAGGTGATTTAGGTAATATCTGAAAGACCTTTGGGTGAAGCCACATCACTATGGTTCAAGACTATGTGAAATGCAGACAAACATCTGAAGAAACAAGGATAAATTAATTTTATCCTATGAGTTATCTATCCTTTCAAAATATATCCAATGCAAACCTTTAAATCAGTGTTTTAAAAATGACCATTCAACACCTACGTATCTTGGAGGGGTTGAAATGTTGGGTCATCTTTGCATAAAAAAAAAAAACAGAAAAATACATCATGACTTTCCCGACGACCTAACACAAATATATCTCATTGCAACTTATTATTTTTTAAGAAGTATTTTATTTAACTTTCATTTTAATTTGACCAAAGAGGGACAGAGAGAGAGAGAGAAAGAGAAAGTGAGAAAGCAAGTCACCAGGTCCAGGACTCAAACCACAGTCGGCCATGTGGGAATCCAGTGCCCTTAACCATCATGTCACCTGCCGGCCCCTCTAACTTATTAAACAGAAGATATAGATTTGGGTATTTCTTCAAAGTGGCATAGCCTGGATGATGGCCAATTAAAATTAAATTGAGGGCCGGCCTCCTAGTACAGTGGTAAGGAACTGTGCAGAGGAAACCAGACCCACAAAGCCAACCAGGGTTCAAATTCAAGCGCCTTCTGCCTCACACCAGGCTCATATGTATACCCAGGATCCTGACAGAATAGAGAATAGGAGGGAAAAGTACTGCAGCATTGAGAGGTGCGCCACTCTCTCTCTCTCCAGAGAGCATAGGTGCTCATAATCATGTAAAAATAAACTATTAAAATTAAATCCACATGGGGGCCAGTGGTGCAGTGATTAAGGTGCTGCACTCCCACATGGCTGATCATGATTTAAGTCCTGGACCCTGCAGCTTGAAAATCACACTGGGAGCCTGTGCACACATGCCCAAAATCCCAAAAGAAGAATGGAAGGCAAAGGATTGCTGCGTGGCCATACCCACTGGGGGAGGTGGGGGGGGTAATTTCTCATTCCCCCCACCTCCAGCAATTGCATGCGCCCTATGGCAAAAATAATATTAATAAATCCACATGAGAACTGATTTCTTAACACAGAAAGTATTCAGCCCATCACATAATTAGCAGCAGTTTGTGATGGAATGGAAATGGGAATGGGGAAAAGAAGATTTAACTCTTGGTATAGTAATATATTCCTAATATATTCTAAAATACTGTAACTTTAAAAACTAGATTTATAGGAACCAGCAGTTAGCGTAATGGCTATGTCACAGAACTCCCACTTAGTCAACCGCGGTTCACATCCTGGACCCAGTGACTTAAAACTCATGCCGGGCGCATGTGCATGTGTGCCCAAGATCCCGAGAGGAGAATGGAGGAGAAGGGATTGTGATTTCTTGCTTTCTGACTCTCTGTCTGTCGAGCGCATGCGCCCTATAGCAAAAACCTCTCAAAAAAAAAAAAAAACTAGATTTATATGCCCCAATATAATTTACTTGAAACCTTTCCATGTGTGTCTCCATGTTGCAGCACCTGAATTTCTCCTTCCACATAATGAAACAAGCCCTCTTTGCCTATGTTAGAGAATTACGCAATTTAAGAAAGAAAGACTGTATCCAAGTTCAGCACAGCCCTATCCCATTCTATTACACCTGGGGTTTAGACCCTAAAGCTATCTTAAAGATCCTATGACCGAAATCACCCTTGAAAAGCCATTAAATCACCAGGACTTGGGTCCATAGAAGATCATAGGCAGAAAATTACATTACTTCATTTATCTCTTCATTTGAACGAAGTCCTCCTTTTCTCTAGATCAATGAAAGCCAATGTCTACTTTTAAAAAGGCAGGTCAGAGCACTGGGTAAATACAGTAAATTATCTATTTTTATAAATGGCTGAACTAGCTAGTGACTACAAAAAGTGGACAAACCCATTATCCTGTTGTCCACTTACAAAAAAATGAACCTTCAAAACTCTGGAGAACAATTGGGGAATCTGGTTTTGCTGCTTTTGATACATGCCTACTACCACAAAATCCTTTTCACTGGTGACTCTCCAAAAGCAGGTAAACAGACGGTATCTTCAGAAACCAGACTACTAATTGCCGTCATAAGCAAACGTTTTAAGGACAATTTCACAACTTGCGGGCAATGTACCTGCGTCAGAGAAGGGTCAACTTTATAGGTCTACTCATGGTCAAAAATGAAGTTCTGTCGGAAAGCATGACACGCAAGGTTGGATACACATTGTGCACAACACGTTCCAAAGGGGCCCTGGGTCACCCGGAGAAGGGGGCCAGGGAGTGGCTACATTTTTCATGAGAAATCCACTACACACACAAGAGAGCAACCTGGGCAAGGGTAAACCCTGCAATCTGGGCAAGGGTCACCTCAACGACTAACAGCTCCACCTTGCGCCACAGACCCCAAAACTTCCAAGGAAAGCAGAAATGCCCACATGAAAAGTGCACACAGAACCTCCAGCACAAGGGGGACCGGTAGCAAATGAGGCTCCAGTTCACCCAAACGAAGGGGAGACGGTTCTCGGGCGGTCTGCAGCTCACGACCAGCCGGGGAGCTGTCTAAGCGGCCCCCTTCTCGTTACCTGACCGACGTCATGGCTGCACCTTCCTGCCCCACACCACGGCGCCCGCGTCCGATGCTCCGCG